AGACTAAATTCGATAAATATGTATTTGTGGGGATATTCAAAGTAGACATTTGAATATAAATTCTATTATCATGAAGAAAGTCTTCATCTTACGACATATCCTCTTCTTAGAGAAAATGTTTACTCTAGGGGAGGACAATGGGACCAAAATAAAACTTGAAAGAGTTCAAGAGTCCACAGATATAGTTAACCAAGTAGATAAATTCGAGTTTGATTCCATATCTGATATGGGACATACTCTTGATGAGGAAGTAGAGACTCCTGAGGACATGTCAGCTCTATGTGAGTCTAGTAGGATTATTCGACCTTCAATAAGGTACGAATCCATGATTACTAATCAGGTATTACTGATTCAAGATGATGAACCTACTAATTGCACCAAAATAAAGTCAAGTGTTGACTTAAAAGAGACAGCAAGATGCCATGATACTCGAGATGATCTCGGCGTATGTAAATAAGGTTTGGACCTTGGTCGAGCCTCCTGATGGAATAAAACCCATAAGATTTCGTAAATAATTTACAAGGGAAAGGTCGATATGAATGGGAATATCCATATATACAAAGCAAGGCTAGAAGCAAAGATTAAGTGTTGACCTTGGTGAAACCCTTCTCCTGTAGCCTTGCTGAAGTCCATTTGGGTTTTGCTTGCAATAGTTGCTTACCATGACTATAGGTTAAGAGAAGTCTCTTGGAGCTGAAATCTTAGATTTGATGAAAAAGTCAAAATATTTGATTTTATCAAATTTGAAAACGAATTGTGTGTTTACAAGAAGATAGTGGGAGCATTGTCGTATTCCTAATATTATAGAAAACGACATCCCTATGTTTCAATCGTTGAAATAATTGTTGTTAAAGGATTTATTCATGAACGATATGAGAGAAGCAACTTGATCTATAGAGGCAGCTTAACACATCCTAATTTACATAGATGAAATCTTGAGAAGATTTTATGTGGAGAAACTGGTTTACTCTTAAGCGGTATGTTGGAAAAGTTTCAAACGTGAAGAAACCGTTGATTCAATAGTAGAAACCTAATAAATGATTACTTCAGAAGTAGCAAAGAATTACAATCTGGATCATGATGTTCATAAATGAACTTGGAGTAGTTCCTGTTATTGTTGATCACATGCCATTGTATTGTGATAACAATAGAGTCATCGCGAACGCGAAGGAACTAAGGTCTCATCAATGATCCAAACATGTATTAAAACGGTATAATCTCATCAAAGAGATAATACATAGAAATGACATAAAGAGAAGAACAAATTCCCACATTTAACAATATTATAGATCCACTAACAAATAGTTACCGTAGCATAAACATAATCGTCATGTAGACTCTTATGATATTGGATACATAAGTGATTGGATCTAATGCAAGTGAGAGTTTGTAAGTATTATGCCCTAGGTCCAATCAATCTTGGATATAAATACTTTTGATATATAATTAATATAATTTAATGGCAGATCTATTATTTAATTAATAAACAATTAAATTAAATAATATAGTCCGTAGATTTAGATATTCGTAATTTATTAATCACAAAGAATTGTGATTGTGAGATACAAATTACATATGATTGAATCTTAAATCATCCGTGGTTGTAACTAATAACGAGATACGAATATCGTTATTACGGATAGACCATCACGTGTGGCATTTCTTACTTGTAAAGTAAGTAACTGATCTCACAAGCTAAAGTGTGGTGATATTTAAATGAACACATAGATGTTTTGATATAGAACAAAATATTGGAGACCCTCGAGAGATTCCACACGGATAACTATCTGAGCATCAGTGGTTAATCTCTAACGTTCGATAGTGGAATTGGTCCTTTGACTTGAGGTCGTCATGGTACCTTATATGATGACAGTCATATTTTGGCGGTGTTGGGTGTTACTCTGTAAAGGGCCGCTAATACGACATCGTTCGGGTACGTCAACAATCGTATGAAGGTTGTGATTGACCAATAAAGGATCCGTCATTCTTAGATAATAGGAGATTATGATCTGCGTTTCATTCAATTAAGTCGATCTTGGCCAAGGTGTACTCATAAGTCGAAAAGAAATTTTTGACTTATATTGACTTAATAGTGGAGTGAAAGATAGATCGATAATCGAGATTGACACACTTCCATATCTCGTAATTGATCGTATCATATTGACGAAGGGATTATAGTTTCACGATAAACGAACGAATTTGGTTTTGTCATACCACGTGACATTTTCCATCATATGTATTGCCCCGACACATTGCTAGATATCAATCTGGGACGGCGAGTGTATATTGGTGATAAATTAAAAGGGTGTTTTAATTTATCAATTTTGATTAGATTAAAATAATATTTCACATCGTTAGGCATAATGATAGGGAACCTGATGGGTCGCACACGAAAGGAGAATTGGAAGATTGTAATTTATCAATTAAGTAATTTAACAAGCGTTGGATAAATTAATTAATTGGGTTGTATATTTATAGGACCGAATTAATTAATTGGATTAATTAGTTCACGAATCGGATTTAATTAAATGGGTTAATTAAATGTTGGACCGAGTCAGGCCAAGCCCGTTCGGGCTCATATAAATATGATTAGGGTTTTAAAAATTGTAGAGATTTTCATTATTCTTGCTAGCACAAGAAGAAAACCCTAATACTGCAATCTGTTTTCTGTGTGGATCACCGTTGGAGGTTGGACAATTGGACAGCCGTGGACGGCGAATCAAGATTGCTGGAACGAAAAGAATAGCAAAGAAGTTTGCAGATTTGTAAAAGGTACAATCTTATCACAATTTCTATCTAAATACAAAGACGATTCTTGGTGGGAATCGAAAATTGTTTTAATTTTCGCTGCGCATGTTCAATAGATTCCCAACAATACTGACCATCCCTTAGGAAATTTCAAATTTCAAGCAGAAGTGATGTTACTACTTTCAATTGCTTTAAAGCGGGTCTTCCTAAGATCCCATTATAAGCAGACTTCCTACCAAGACTAGATAGTCCATGTGTCCCTGAAATGCAATTGACTCTTCATCGAGCTCAATTGTTAACTTAATTTGTTCTCTTGGGATCAAATTTTCCCTGGCAAAATCATATATGGGTTCAGCCATGGATCTCCAAAAACCTGCATTTGGTCAAAACACCTCCAAACAAAATATTAACAGAGCTATCGTCATCCACCAATATGCAGTTAAGATTGCTACGAGCTATTACAAACCGTACTACTAATGCATCGCAATGGGGACATATGACTCCCTGCTTATCATCAACATTAAAATTAATTGGAAGATATACAAGTTTAGGATTACTTCGAATCCAAAATACTTCATGTGTGAGCTTTCTAGCGGTGCGAACATAGCTCTTTTTTTCACTCATTATTTTCTCACTTATATAATGTCCTCCGATTATGGTGTTGATTTTCCTTATTAGGGGTACAGAACTGGATGCGTTTCTTGTGCTTGCTTTAGCTCGGCCGACCTTGTTATGCTTTTACGACCTCGTCCCCTGGTTGGATAAAGTGGCCTTCTACCTTCAATCATTCCCTATGAACATTCTTTTTGAATTTGCTGCTTAATCCTTTTTAATACCATATAACATTCTTCTATATCATGATCTCTACAGCGATAAATCTTGCAGAACTTCACCATTCGATTCCCATGGAAGGATTTTTTTAACTTGTGGCCAATGTAGAGGCAGAAGATATTGCATGTACCCCTTCTCTAGGTTTTACAAAATGCGAATACTGCTGTTTTGGCAATTTAAGAGAATATGTAGAGATTTTATCTTTGAATTTTTATGTAAGAATTTGCTCTACCATCTTTCTGTTGGTGATTATTCCTCTACATGGATCTCTTCTGGGTCAGGTTTACCAACTGATGATAAAAGTTTGGTTCAGATTGTAGACGTCTCGCCAAAAGGGAGTCTCCCTCAGCAGACCATTCTATATGGCATCTCTGGCCTTTTCATCCGATATGGTTTTGTGAGCTATTAATTCAACATTGAACCTTGTGAAATAGCTTTTAAAAGACTCGTCTTCTTCCAACCACATGTCATTCAATCGTGTGGTTAGAGCTTCTCCATTTTTCTTCCAATGAACACTTTTAAGAATGCTTGCTTCAGTTGCAGCCGACTTCTAATTGATCCAAGTGGCAATTTGCTATATCATCTATTAGCCTGTTCATCTAGTGTTAAATGGAGATCTTAACACTTTAATGCAGTGCCTGCCTTTTTTAGTTTCACCTGTGTTATATACTTAATAAGATGATACACAGGATCTCATTTTTAATTGTACTTCTCTATCACGGGACAAAAAAAAATTGTTCGGGGAAAGTGGTACACATTCATCATAATCATTTATCTCATATAGCCTAGCCGGCTAATCTTTGTGCTCTTTCTTCAAAAGAGCATTTTATGAAGTGTCGATGTAATTTCAGCTTTCTGATCTCCCTGACGATTGTGATAAGTTGATTTCCTATCGCGGGAGCTTAACTCATCCATAGACTTTCCTAGAGCGGATTTATCCTCATATTGCTCATTCCTCTTCTTTTACATCATACTATCACTAGTTCTTGAAATCAATAGGCTGTTGCTGTTACAACCCACATTTTTATCTAGTCAAAGTCAATCGTGAAATTTTCAAAGTCAAGTCAAATGAGGACTTGTATGAAATAAATCATTTTTATTGGGACTCGATTGACCAAATCATTTTATTTGGGTTTATCTTATAAATTATAAATATATTTTGAAGGTTAAATTGGATACATTTTTAAGTTGGAAACTTACTTATATAATTTTGGAAGTGTTAGGATTAAATGTGATATGAAAAAGAGAGTTGAAGGACTTAGTTTCCAATTATGGGTTAGTGGACCATTTAATCCAACCATTTGACCCATTCTCTCTCAATTTCACACCAAAACACACACACACAAAGTAACGAGAGAAGTAGAGACCGGCAGTGAAGGGAGAAAAAGGGAAAGAAGAAAGGAAAAAGAAAAGGAAAAGAAGAAAAGAAAAAGAAGAAGAAAAGAGGTGAGGTTAATCTCTTCAAGTTGGGTTTAATTTTTCCACTTTGTTTTCGAGTGATTAAGTATGATTTATATTAAATTTTTAGGGTTTTAACTTGCAGAATAAAATGTCGAATTTTAGGTTATATTTGTACGAATTGGAGCTCAAGTTTGGGGATTTCTTCATTTCCAATTTCAGCTAGGTAAGGGATATTATTTTAGCAAACCCTAGAAATTTTATTTGGGATTTTTGGGATTAAGTATGTTCATGGAAATGATGATGTTGAGAAAATAATTATTTGGAAGCATGAAATTATGGAACAAGAGGAAAATTTTAATTAGTTGAATTATAGCAACTTCTTGTCGCTTGAATGATGTGGATTGTCACAGTGATATTTGGATGTGAAGGTTATGTTGATAAATTAGTTATTAGTCAATGGATTATAAAATGTGATTAGCTCCAATTAATAAAGGAAAATTTGAGAACTTATTCAAGTGTCCAAAAAATTTAATTTTAAGTTCTATCATTAGATATTAAGGTTTCTTGATTAGATAGAGGATAAATTGGTTATTAATATCATATTTCAGGTGGTGGCGAGAAAATTGGAAACGTTTATCAGCCAATCTAGCTTGTAGCTCATACCTTGTTAGTGGATAAAACTTATTTTTCAGAAATAAGTCTTCTTTAAATTTTAAAGTTATTTATTTTATAAAGTTGACTTCATAGCATGATTTTCAAAATAAAATGGATTTTATTATCAATTTCTTTTAAAATTAAATTAAATTAAATTCAGTTCAGTTAAATTATTTTAGTAGCATGTTATATTCTTATTACATGTTTCAGTATAGTTAAAGTTATTTCTAAAAACCACCAGAAAGTACACATGTGATTTTACCCCAGTTTGCACTGATGTGAATTTGTTTCCACAGTGTATGACTAGTTATAGTGATTTTACCCGCTTTGCACTATCGTGAATGTGTTTCCATATTGTATGACCAGATTATCAGAGGTCTTTGGGACCCACTCTCGTACACACATAGGCTTTGGGCCGTGTACTAGGGTAATTAGCCTTTGGGTAGCTCTGCGTACATATAACCAGATTATCAGCTATCAGATTATCAGATTTGAATGGCTTTACCTTGTACATCGAGATTACTCTGTACATGAGTAAGGCTATTCATTGGGTACTATTTTTGGTGTGATTTTTCAGTACTTATTCAATTCTCAGATTTCAGATTATGGAATTCAATTAATTCAGTTTTCAGAATAAAGTTTCAGCTTCTAGTATAGAGCAGCAGCAATATTTCGTAAATTTTCGTGAATATCAGATTCTTTATAATTGTTATACCTTACAGATACTTATCTAGAATTTAGAACAAAGAATTTTATAATGAAATCATGTTTAGTTTTTAAAAGTATTACTAGATTTAGAAATTCTCAAGGATTTAATAAAGTTAAAATCTTTAGAAAATATGCATAAATGGAAAAAGTTTACTTATTTGCAAATCATCCACTCACTGAGTTACAAACTCATATTTTTGTCATGTTTTTCCTATTAGGAGACCGTCGATTTTTAGATACTGGGAAAACCCTGCTGAAGCGAAAGAGACCGATTCATAGTATGTAATGTATAGTTGGGGGACTCATGTTTATTAAGTACTTGTCTAATATTTGGTGTGTCATGCACTTCGTAGTAAGGTTTGTAATTGATGTAATGCTTGCATGTTGACATGATGATGTTATAGAAGCACTCAGTCGAATTTTGTTATATTTTGTTGTAGTTGTGGTGGTATTAGAGGAAGTGGTGGTTTCCAAAACTTTTGGTTTAAATGTCTATTTGAGATTTTGATGATTTTTCAGGTTGGTTTTGTCCATGTTACAGGGAAAACTCTGTCAAAATTTTTATAGAATTATGTCATGGTCAAGTAGGTCACGTTTGTCTTGGTGGCGGGTCCGGCATTTAGCTGGCATCTACCATCGGCGCACGACACGTGTTGAGTCAATTAGGTTAAATCAGGACTGGTCGTGTCAGCTGCTCTCATCGCAGAAAGATCTACCAGAGTGTTCTTCTCCGTTTATGTCGGACTCAACTTGTAAATTTCTTCTAGAATTATTGACTATTGAGTGCAAAGACGCATTCTCTACCGTCAACATTTTTAGGCTTTCATGCATTTCGTGGATTGTTTTGGCAATATATGCATTCTTACTTAAGCAACAATGTTGAGCAGGAGACATGCTGACTTGCAATTTTGCAGATGTCCCTTCCCGTTGTCTTTTTGGATTAGTATCATTATCCATTAGCTGATCGCTACTGTATCCTTTGATTTCAACCTCTATTGTTAATTTTCCTTCTAGTTTTTCTTCCGTAGGATTCATTTTTATTAGATGTTAAGGATTTCTTAACTATAACAAAATTTTGTAGTTTACTTTGTTTAATTTTTCACAGATGGAGCCAATTTGTTGACAATAAAAATCAAATCAACAAGTCATCTCATCTAGCCAGACTTTGACCTCCAAATCTTATAGTATTGGTGCTCAAATGGGAGCTATAGGATCTTGACGAGTTTGTTTCACTCATGATTTTTGCACAAGTTTGGCTTGATTAAATACTAGATCTTGTGAGTATAGAACGTTTTTGATGTGTTTGTTAGTGTTGTTTTGAAGATTAGGAGAGACAATGCGAAAAGAGGTATTAAAGTGGACAAAGAGACAAAAACACGGAATTGGGGCAGAAAGACAACACTTAGCCGCTGTAGTCATAGCGCTAGGTGCTACAAAACTGAAAAAAGATGAAATTTGAACCCGAAAGGCAGTGCCTAGACGCTGCAATCATAGCGCCCAGGCGCTGAAGACGTAGCACCTAGGCGCTGTGATTAAACTAACGAGGCACCTAGGCGCTGCGACTGAGTATCTAGGGCGCATTTTTTTGGGCCGTTTTAAAATCTATAAAAACCCTACTTCTACACAAAATAGAGGGACACCTATAAATACACCTTTCTCATACTTTTGAGGGCTTGACACATTGGAGACAAGACAACAAAAAAGGAGATTCAAAAGAGAAATTCAAGAAAATTAACACCTAACCATTGAAGATTAGAAGCATTCATTGGAAGGGGAAGGCGATCTTGGTACAAGAATTCTACTTTTTTTTCTACATCTTTATTACAAATTCGGTGATATATTCTAAGACAATTTTCTATTTTTCTTCTTGCATTATGAGTAGCTAAATTCATTGTTAGGGGGAATAATGTAACCAATTGGGATCCTTTACATTCTCTTATTGAGATTCTTAGTTTTTAATTTTTCCATGTGTTGATTTTGCTATGAGTTGAATGCATTAAATTATCTAATCAATAATTTGATGATTTTTGTGAATTATTTACAAATAGAGATATGAGTTTAGGATTTAGACCATGTAGTAAAATTAAGTACATTGGTATAACGAGTAGAGATACATATACCATTTATTGCTGTCATAATTGAATTCCTAGGACATAGAACTCGTTTAACTAAGTTGAATTTGCATAGAGATATGAAATTTAATTAGTTGAAAAGGCTCAACGAGAACTCGAAATGGGTAAATTGAATACAATAGGAAAATTCGACCAAACACTACATTAGAATTGAGTTTTAATTTGAGATGTAAAGATGATCAATTGGTGAAGTTATTCTACCCTAACATCCACTCATTATTTGATTCTCCAACCAATCGTGTGAACGTCCATTTATTTTATAGAATTTAGATTAAAACTCAGATTTCACAACTTTTAATTTGTTTTGGTCAAATAGTAGTTAAAGAAAAATTGAATTAAGTGTTAGAAAATAGTCCTTATGGGATCGACAATCCGGACTCTTAGGTCCACTATTATTTGTTACGGGTCGTACACTTGAGAAACAAAATTTTACAACAAGTTTTTGGCGCCGTTGCCTGGGACTATTTCTTTTAGTCTTAATTTTTTTTTTATTTTAACTGTCATTTGATTTGTTTCTTTTTCTTTTATTTTGTGTTCGTTGTATGCTCCATGCCCAAGGCGACGATCTTGAACCGTTTGATTCGAAGATAGAATGTACCTTCAGGCGAAAACGCAAAGAACACAAATAAAAAAAGCAACGTCAAATGGTTGACAATCAACAAATCCCTATACATATTCAGCCGATTGGACAAATGGCTGCAAGAGTGGTGACACCACCGGAACAGCAGCATCAGCGAGGGGAAATAAATGAAGGTGATTTGCCAGTATCAATGTTCCTAACACCTATAGCAGCACCCATGCGCTCCAGTATCGTGTATCCAGATTTTGGGATGAATAACTTTCAGATCAGGCCAGATTGGATTAACTTGATGAGAAACACCCTGCAATTCTACGAGCTACCTCATGAGAATCCAAACACGCATATCTCTAGATTTATCAGAAATTGTCAAAACTTTCATGCTCCGGGGGTCAATGAAGATGCTATTAAACTACAACTATTCTAATTTACATTGAGAGATGCTGCATTGGAGTGGTTAGATGCTGAGCCTCACGTCAGCATTACTACATGGGAAGAACTAACCAGGAAGTTCTGTAATAAATATTTTCCACTGGCGAGGGTAGCTAAAATCAGATTGGAAATTCAAACTTTTCAACAGAAAGAGGGAGAAAGCTATCACGAAGCATGGAATAGGTTTAATGAGATGATGAGAAAATGCCCAAATCATGGAATTATTATAGCAATCAAATGCAATACTTCTACACTGGACTTACACCACTGTCAAAATCCCAAGTCGATGCCTTAGCTGGAAGATCAATTATAGGAAAATCTGTGTAGCAAACCATGGAGCTATTTGAGTTGATTGCCACTACACATTCAATGTTCTTATCGGAAAGAGTGGCGCCACCGAAGACAGGAGGAATGTATGAGTTAGATAGCATAACAGCTACCAACGCCCAAATAGTAGCATTAACAAAATAGGTGGAGTTATTGGTGAAATCACAAACGAAAGGAGCACATGCAGTGACAACTAGTCCATCATGCGAGAACTGCGGGACTAATCATCTGACAGAAAACTGTACATCTATAGGCTATCCCGACGAACAGGTCAATTTCATTCAGGATGGGTCTCGAAATTTTAATCCATTTACTCAAACGTACAACCTAGGATGAAGATAACACCCAAACTTCAGATGGTCGGATAATCAGCAAGGGAACAGTTCAAATAATGCCCAACAAGAAAAAAAACCAAGTTTGGGGGAGATGTTCAACCAGTACATGCAGAAGACTGACAAGGTGTTTCAGCAGATTGACACTAACTTTCAGAATCAGCAAGCATCAATCAAGAAGTTGGAAACACAAATTGGTCAGATAGCTCAATAGCTTGCAGAACGCCCACAAGGGACATTGCTGGGCAACATAATGGTTAATCCAAAAGAGAAAATGCAAGCTATTACTACCAAGAGTGGGGTGCAACTTCCAGAAATACATGTGAAGAGACCAGAGCGAAAAGAAAAGCAAATAATGGGTGAAGAGGCTAGGATAGAAGTAGAGTTTGAACAACCAACTAACAAGGAGAATGAAAGGAAAGAAACACCTGCAATGAGAGCACCCAACCTCGTGAAGGCTTATATGCTACAAATTCCCTTTCCTCAAAGGTTACAAAGAAAGAAGTTGGATAATCAGTTTGCCAAGTTTGTTGAGATTTTCAAGAAACTGCACATCAATATTCCATTTGCAGACACAATTGCCCAAATGCCCAGCTATACAAAATTCTTGAAAGAGATTCTATCTAACAAAAGGAAGCTGAAAGAACGTGAGACAGTCTGCCTGAAACAAGAAGTGCAGTGCAATACTATTGAGAAAGCTACCTCCTAAACTAAAAGACCCAGAGAGTTTCACTATACCTTACACAATTGGTTCTAATTTCTTTGAACATTCTTTATGAGATTTAGCTGCCAGTGTTAATTTGATGTCTCCCTCTGTCTGTAGGTCTCTTGGATTAGGAGAAGCAAAACCTACAACAATCTCTTTGTAACTGACCGACAGATCGATCAAACGACCAAAAGGAATTATTGAAGATGTGCTAGTCAAAGTTGACAAATTTATTTTTCCGGCTGATTTCATTATTTTGGACATGGAAGAGGACTCAAATATTCCTCTGATATTGGGAAGACCCTTCTTGGCTACTGGGAGTTTATGATGGAAAAATGATTCTTCGAGTGGACAATGAACAAGTCATATTCAACGTGTTCAAGGCAACGAAACACCCATTGACTTCCGACACTTGTTGCCAAGTTGATGTTCTTGAAAAGCTTGTAGCAAATACATCTGATACAGAGCATCACACAAACCTTTGTGAGGCTGAACTTGCCAATTGGAAGCAACAAATGCAGGAAAAGCTGAATGTGTTGTCAACTTACCGAGCAACCCATAGGAAGAAGGCATTGACAGTATGAATCTCTTGGTGACAACCCTTCTCCCCCGGTACCCTCAGTGGAAAAGGCACCTATTCTTGAGCTAAAGCCCTTACCTTCACATCTCCGTTATGCATATTTGGGAGAATCTACAACACTTCCAGTAATCATTGCAAATGACATGATAATGGAAGAGGAGAATAAATTGTTGGAGGTACTCAAGCAGCACAAAACGGCAATTGGAAGGACAACGCAGACTAAATCAAACTTTGAAAGAAGTAGTGCGAAAAGAAGTGCTGATATTGTTGGATGCGGGTATTATCTATCCAATCTCTGATAGTTCACGGGTGAGTCCAGTGCATGTTGTGCCAAAAAAAGGGTGGAATCACAGTGGAAAAAAACGAGGACAATGAGCTGATACCAACATGTTTAGTGACAAGGTGGAGAGTATGTATAGAGATTTCAATGCCTATGTTCCGTAGGTGGACGTACTTAGTTATCAGACATGGTTACTGTATGGTAAGGTGCACAAGACTAAGGAAGGCTAGACCAAGACACACTGACATATATATGATAAACTTGTTGAAGTATGATATTATTGTTTAGATGTTTGGGAAATATAAGATTAATTGGAACCATGGAGGCTTGGTAGGTACAAAGCTCGAACTTTATAAATATATTTAAGGGAAAATTTGCAGTAGTGGTTCAAACTTTTGAGTTGTTAGCAAAGTTTACTCTAACCTTCTCCGCAATCTAAAAACCCACAAGATTATTTCCCAAAATCAAAATCAATCATGAAATTACGCATGTTAACATAGATCTGCATAAAAAGTGTTTTGAGAGATTTGTTATTTGTTATGTGGTTTGGCATGTAGACCCACCTGATTGAACAAAGAGAGTTAGGGAAATGTCCTGTGGGTTAATATGTACAATGAAAAGTGTTGGTCTGATAAGGAAAAGATGGGTTTGGAGAGACGTGTGAGATGCTACAATGGTGCTGACGGCGATGGCCAACGGGTGGCGGAGTCACTATTTGTTTTAGGTTCGATTTTGGAGGGGGTGGGAAAGATAACCTTTGGTTTGGTCCCTTTTTTTTGTTTTTTTTTATTTATCCCTAATTATTATCAAATCTAAGTCGTGGAAGTAGCTTTCTCCAAAAGATGGAAAGACATGAGTTATCCTATAAAGTTTAAACAACAAAACAATTATCATGTCTAACTACAGATTTTGGTTAGTGGTGAGAAACAATATCATAGCAGAATTGACCATATTGGAAATATAATCAGACCTTTCTAGGTAATAAAGATTTTCCTAAACTCTCATAAAAATATTACTCAAAACACTTACAAGAAATGTCAACTATTTGTTAACGAAACAAATATTTAAATATTTTTTATTTCATCAATGAAAGTAAAATGCAAGAGCTGAATTTGATTTCCTACAAGGGAAAATTATTAATTAATTTAATATTTTTTCCTTTATTTACAAGTAAATATAAATAAATAAATAAATAAAACATTGAATGACATTGGTTTTAGTTATTTGCCATTCACACACAAAATCGCCACAATTAAATTTTGTCTAAATACACATCTCCACATAAGTTTAACGCTACTATCGCATATGAATAATAAATTCGAGTTGCATTGCACTTACAGAATTTTTGCTCACGAATATTTTACAGAAAAGGCACATTGGTGGGATGAGTGGTTGATTTGTTGGCATTTTATATCATGCATGAGGCCCACGCACAATGAGGGTTCTAGCCAGATTATGTGAACAAAAAATTTGTACATGCAGAATTTTCCAATAAATTCAAGCTAAATGAAAAGGCCTCTAAAATTCCATATTATAAGATTCTAGGAGTGTTCAATCAACAGTCGAATTGCAGAATTCATAGGCTGAAAATGAAGATAAAAACAAAACTCTCTTGAAAATTAGTGGGTTTATTTTGAGAGCCATAATCTTTTATTAATAATAAAAGCTTCTCAGGCTTCCCATCCTCTGAGAAGCGTTGCCCTAGCAACCCGATTAACGCCTAAGCTGAAGGCTCCCATTCGAAGATCACAATCATGAGTCTTGCACATCTCTTTTACATCTTTGAAACCCTTTGTCATGTATGTCTTGAGCTCTGCATTCACTTTATCTTCATCCCACATGAATCCTTGAATGTTCTGTAATGCAACACATTGCAATGTTAAATCAGTAGAAGAAAAATATTAATATGGAAATTGGAGAAAAGATGAATATATACCTGAACCCACTCGAAGTAACTGACAGTAACACCACCTGAATTTGCGAGTATGTCTGGAAGAACGACAACTCCCTTCTTTGACAAAATCTGTGGAAGAATACACTATTTAATTATGCTGCCCGCCGCTCTTATTTTATGCTCTAGTCTAATTCCACTAACCTCATCGGCCTCAGGATCGGTTGGATGATTAGCTGCTTCAATAATAAATTTGGCTTTGATATCTTTTGCATTATCCCTTCAATAAGATGGGAAATTTTTTCACTATATTGGAAAGTTACAAACCCAACATTAAACTGATACTATGAAGACGCGTAATAAACCTGTTGATAACGCCTCCAAGAGCTGCTGGGATAAGAATGTCACAATCCTCTAGCAATATTGAATTAGGATCGATAGAATCCCCGCCACTGAATCCTTTTACTCCACGGCTTTCTTTGACATGGTTAAGTAGGCTTGTTATGTCAATTCCACTGCTGTTCTTTATAGCTCCTGTAATATCGCTTACTGCAACTATCTTCCCCCCCTGCTCACTGAGGAGTTGAGCCGCCCAAGAACCAACGTTTCCAAATCCCTGAGACAAAAAAGAATGCCAAAAGTCAGCTTAATAAACAATTGGAGTATTTTTCTATCCAATCACTTCCTCAGGAAATATATTTGCATTAAGATTCATCAAATTTTATTTGATTTCAACTCTAGGCCTAATTAAAATATGAGTTAAGGATGATCTAACTTCGGTACCTGCACAACAATACGTTGACCAGCAATGCCCTTCCCATACTCTTTAAGCAGGGCCTCTGTTGCAAAGAGGACGCCTCTTCCTGTAGCTGCATCTCTTCCAAGGGATCCGCCAAGATCCTAAAGATAAGAAATTTGGGTCTTTCAAGTTACAAAAATGGAAAATTTTCAGAGGAAGAAAGCAGTTTTTCAAATAGTAGAAGAGACCATATGCATCATCAGATTACATTAAAAAGTGAAAAAAATCATGAACCTGACTGAAGTATCATTCGAGAGCTTTTCGTAGACTTACAATAGGTTTTCCAGTTACTACTGCAGGGGAATATCCATGAAATTTTGAATACTCATCTAAGATCCAAGCCATTGTCTGTTCAACCGCACAGAAAAGATTGACAATAAATTCAGATACAAGTCATTGAGTTAATTGAAAATCAGACGGCAAGGTTTTTCCAATATAGTGAAAGATTTTTCCTATGTTATTGAAGGGATAATGCAAAAGATATCAAAGAAAATTTATTATTGAAGCGGATAAACGTTCCACGGACCTGTGGATTTGTTCCCATATCAGGCGCCGGAACATCTGTGTGGACTCCAATCAGATCATGTATCTTTTGTGTGAAAACTCGAGTAAGTCTTTCTAGCTCAGAGAAGCTCAAATCCCCTGGATTACATCCTATCCCTCCCTTGGCTCCACCATATGGTATGTTAGCTACTGCAGTCTTCCATGTCATGAGTTGCGCCAAAGCATTCACCTCGTCTGGGTCTACCTACGCAATGTACATAGAATTTTGATTATAAAGAAAGGGGAAAAAAGGTCCAGAAACCGGATCTACCTACACAATACAATCATCAGGATTAAGACGAAATATAAGGACCTTCATCTGGAGGAGGTTATTTTAGCAATTTAATTTGAAAACAACAGAATCTACTTAGCTACTGGTCTGCTAAATTCAGAGAGCAGAACCATAATGGTTGCATCTCTAAATCAATTCCTAGTTAATGCAGTTTAAATTGTTCAGCCTTCTAACCTCAGGGTGGTATCTTATTCCTCCTTTCATTGGACCTCTAGCATTGTCATGCTGAACCCTGAACCCCACAAATGATGCCAAGGTGCCATCATCTTTCGGTATGGTACACTCAACCTGTGATTTTGACCAGGGCAGGCAAGGAACACAGTTAAACAGAAGGAAGTAAGTATTGACAAAACGAAAGCACACTAAGTAGGGCGAGGAGAAATACATTGAACCAAGAATAACCTATGGAACGTGAAGGGTAAAATGATATATCTAAATCAAGCTTAACTTAAATGACTAGAACGTCGTAGTAAATTACCAAAAAAAAAAAAAAAAAAAAAAAAAAGAAGAGTAAAGCTATTGAAAACAGGGGACAGCAAGTTAGAAGTCCGGGCCAGTGTGTATATGGAAGTACAAAATGGATATTTTGAGGAAAAAATTTAATGATAGGAGAAACTTTCAAGCATCTGCCGGGGGGGGAAAAATCTAGGAAAACATGACATTCTAAATTTACATACACAGATAGATCAGACAGAAAAATAAAGGCAGTAAATTTGACATTATTTATCAATCAACATGGTTAAGTGTTAACCTTGATTTCCCTAAATGGAATTAGCAGACTCTTCTCAAGCTTTGAATCCAAACCCAGAAGCCGAGCTGCCAGCTTAAAGTTTCTGTTGGTTGCGGCTAACGCATTCATGATTCTTCAAATGCGTTCCTGAGTAACTTCCACAATGCAAATTAGATTTCAAAATTCAGAAGGATGAATAGACCTAAATGGATGATTTTCTGAGGAGAAAAACATGCAACTAGTTTGTATAAGAGTGATTTAAACGTGACTCATATAGTCAAGGTTTTGAAGTTATTATAATAAAAGAACTTAACCCTTAAAGAATTGAATGTCGTGTCATCATCCAGTAATCCTTTTAGAATCTCAACCTTAAATATTCATCATATGTTACTAACTTGGGAGGAAGGTTTTATTCCCTTGTAAAGTCAATACTGTTGGAAAATTGGAATAAATTACTGTTTATTCACTTTCTATTTATATAAATTATTGGACGGTATTCTCGAATTTTATTCAACAAATACATGGGCAAATTCATAATTAATTTAGACCAAACCATTAATTCATTCATGCATAGTGAGCTGGACATCCTCATCCAGACCCCTAAGCAGGATTTCCGAGCTACTTCATGCATAATTAGGTAGACAACCTCATCTAAAAGTAACTTTGGTTTTAGTTCTCCACATATATATATATATATATATATATATATATATATATATTGATAACAATGGGTGTCCAAGCCAGCTTACATGCACCTCGACTAATTCCACGGGGTCTTGAAGTTTACTGCTGGATACTCACCTCAGTGGTTCTGAGGGGACTCGAACTGGTGATCATTGAGGAGCAAACCTAAGGCCTGATCACTAAACTAATACTTAGGGTTGGTTCTCCACATATATGCCAAAGCTTAAACATGATATTTAGGATAGATCTGGCATGGTGGTTTTTATTTAATCAGGTCTTTGTCTCCTCCTATCAGGCCCGACCTTATCCTCCGTTCTACAGATTGGTGATCGAATCTCTTCAATAAATAAATTGCTGCCATAATCTTCTAATGGCAGATATATATTGGTCGGTACTTGATACAAGAATACACATTGTCGACTCATCAAGAATAAGGTAAAGATCAATTCTTGGGACTGACTTGATAATCTTTTATATATTGGTTATGCAGCATCATCCTTTTACTATAATACTTGAAAAAAAGAAAAGAAAATGCTCACTGACACCAGATCTGTACATTTTACTAAGGACAACTCACAACTGACGTATAGCAAACGCATCAGAAATTATAAAATGTAAAATTGGAATTCTCCAATATTTCCATCCAAGTACAACAAATATTGGACCCTCCAGTTCAGGTTTTGTCATATGGAAAAGTCCAAAATTTAATGTTCCAACTTTTTAGACTACAAGATAGAGAATAAGTTGAAGAAATTGTCTAGAAATTACTTTTTATAAAAATCAAAGGAAGAAATTTCAGACCCGAAAACAAAGAATTGACAAAAGCATAAGCAAATCCTCTTACCTCAATACAGCGCACCTTTACACTTGAAGAAGCGAGTGTAGCTCCAACTGTATTTATTTATATATATCTAAAAAGAAGATATGGAATCAGAATCAATTCCTCAGTCAGGAATCTCTGCAACCAAATCCAAAGTTTCCAGACATATATACACAGACGAATGTGAATATGATGCTATGCTTATGTTATGAGGTCCCTACCTACAAACATCAGAGGAATCAAGTCATCAACTTCCACTATGAAAAAGAAAACGGATAATAAAAAATGCTTGGAACGTGAATCCGACGCCAATTCCACTATACAACTTAATGGGAGCTTACCTCAAGGCTCAAGACTGGGCTTTTGGTTTTTTTTTTCCTTGTATTATGTGTATATATTGGGTAACTGAGATTTTGTTCGTAATATTTTAGGATCCGATTCATTGTGGTTTTGGTATATATATAATCTCGAAAAGAGAGAGTGAATTTTGTAATGTTTTAATTTGAGTAAGAAATTGTAACTGAAACTGAGAGGGAGGATATTGCATTATATTGATCACGACAAAATTATGATCAAAAGTTGTCCTGGTTGAAATCAACTTTGGGTTGTCGTCCACGTATTCTCTTTTGGGCTTTTGGCTTCACATGGATCGCTGTTCAAATCGTAACTTGCACCTTTAACGCTCATGACTCCATCTTGGATGGAAGAGGGAAAATGGGATAATATCTTTAACGGCCATTCTTTCAAAAGAATAGGGCTGCGATTGGTTTAGTTTTCTGTTTTTCATTTTCAGTTTCAAAACGGTTTTCAGTTTTCTTCGAAAACGTTGCGTCTTGGACATTTTTCGTGTTTTGAACGTTTATAACTGAAAACGCTCAAAACGATAAAAAATTGATTTGCGTTTTCAGTTATAAATTTTACCTTGTTTTCGAAAACGTATTTTTGAAAACAACGAACTAAACGAGTTTTCTGTATTTTCGGAAACGGAAAATGGCCTGAAAACACCAAACCAACGGTAGCCTAAGTTTTTGAATATCAAATTTTTAAAAAATGTGTGGTTAAAAATACTTTGGATTTACGTAAAAAAATATTTTATTGTGAGAATCTATTATTAAAAATGAGTATGAATAAAAATCTTTTTGAAAGAATGATTGCCAAACAGGGGATCAATGAAGGCCATAAAAACTTATCTAGTTCATTGGTCAGTTAGTCATTTCAAAGTGCTGAGTATAAACTAAGTATTAGTACTTAGGAGACCATAAACTAAACAGATATGTTAGATTAAATTTTCTTCATCTCGTCGTAAGTGAATAGAATTAGAGGGAAAAATAAAAAATAAAATGGAAATACATATCCAAATTCCAAAGGCCTTCTTGTTTAGGTCCACCCTCCTTACCTTGTATTTAGTGGGTGATGCTGCTGATCCCACTTAATTTTATTTGTTTCCGTAAAGTTCCAATCATACAGCACCAAATAATTTAATTTTCCTTATAAGGAGACCAGAGAAGTATCTACAAATTGATCCTGCAACAAATTAGCCAGTGTCCTTGCTCGAGAACAGAAATTAAAGTTACATATTTTACAATTAAATTAATTAGTATACGATGAAGATGGAAAACTGTCTGGGCTTGGCAATTTACCCCTTTTTTCGGCTTTCAGTCAGTTATTTTATTAGGTTTATGCTAAAGTAACAGGGCCTCGTAATAGGATTTGGGACAGGAGTCGAGGTGGCACCACCTCGGCCCTTGATATGATGTTTTGATAACATCAAAAAATCAGATTAAGGGCCCCTGTCGCGATGCCTCGGCCCCCCCGTCACCAGCCCTGTTGCTGTAGCAGGGCTCATTTTATTAAATTGAGACTTACGAATTATTTTTAGAAGAAGCTCGGGACCAATATGATTGAACTTTAATTAGGTTATTTTTATTTCTAAGTCCCATACAGAATGTTAAGGCTAATTGATATGATCCATGACTTTCAAACCCAAAAAGAAATGCCAACTTAGGATTTGTTTGATCCCAATTCTTTGGGAAAAAAGTGTTTTGATATCATTTCAACCACATTTTTCAATAAAATAATATTACATGTAAATTTAAAATTTTTCTTTATTTTTTAATCACACATTTCTCATCAATCCACTATTTAAAAATTCATTTTTCCCCACAAAATGGGGCTCGAACAAGAGCTTCACTATCAGTCATGCACTAAATGATTTGATGTTAGTGGGTAATGGGTCCGTCCACTAATTTTTTTAAAAAGAGGCGACAACAACTAATGCATAAAAAGAATCTTGAGATGGAATCCGCCTCATAATCGGTTAAATATTATTATTTACTAAAAGAATCTTGGCATGTTC